AGGCCAGCTGCCTCCTAGCTCCCGCACCAGCAGCACCAGACTTTCAGACTTCATGCATTGTTCAGGGATGCTCTGGACATCTGCATGTTTTATTCTCAGATTCTTTTGGAAATAATGGAGTGCATCAGGAAGCAAAGGCAACTGTGAGCCTGCATCCAGGATGACAGGAGTAGTGCCCTGTGGGGATCAGGAGGCCTTGGGAACAACAGGCATTCTGCCAGGGTAAGGCTGCTGTGGGCAGGCATGGGCTGTATACTTGCTAAGTGCCTGTGCTTCAGTGTGGCAAAAGTCTGTGAATTATTAAGAGGGGATGGGGATCTCGTGCTAGCCAACTCAGGCACTAGTCACAAGGGCACTGGGTCACATGGAGGTGGAGTAGGCATGTGGACCTGTGCCTATGAGGGTCACAGGTGCTGCTGCTCTGCCCTGGCTGGTCTCACCTGATGGCTGAGATCCTTATGCATTGTGTATTTGGTACAGCATCTCACCAGGCTGTCAAGTCAGAGAAGAGAAGCAGGAAAGGCAAAAGGGCCCTTCACCGTATGCCAGGACCATGGCTGCCAACCAGCAAGGGAAACACTTTGGGAGATGTGCTTGCTACAGGAGGCAGGCAGGCATAATCACTGTCCTCACCCTGGGAAGGAGCTGGGAAAAGAGGTTGGGCATTGGTCCCAAAGTAAGCCAGGGACGTCGGTCCTAAGCAGGAGTATAAGGACGGCTTCCACAGTATATGCTGGGTGGCTAATGCACTCTCACTTGGCATTGGTTCTGGTGAGGCCAGTTGAGGTACAGGAGATGAGAAAATAATCATGGTTGGTTTGGGGTTTGATTTTAAGTATAGATTTGATTTTATGACTAAACTAGAAGTTGTGGAATAGGGACAGTTTTTCATGTTGCTCTTATTTGCACATTTGCTACCAATTAGAGTCACAAGAATAATCTTGGCTTTATAAAGAAGGCTGCTGTTACAAGGACTCTGCTTCTGTTGGAACCCAGGCATGTGTGGCCATTAAGTTCCTGTAGCCTCTGAAACCTGGCTGTGACCCTTGGGGTGCCCAGACACACACATGTAGCTCCAGGACACACAGCCCCATGCTCAAATTCAGGTACCTGCCATGCCTGGCCCAGGGAATGTGTGGGTCATGAGGCGCCCATGCGGTCCAGAGCACCTGACTTCTAGGTGGACATGTCCTCCACTGTTCGCAGCCCCGGGCCAGAGAGGCTGGTGCGTGATGGCACTGAGCAGCACCTGTCTTAGTGAGGTGTGATGGTGATGGTGCCCTCGCCAACCCAACTGAGCCTTTGGATGCTCTGTGGCTGGGACTCGTTAGGACAGATGGGGCCCTCAGGTCATGTGAGAGAGCTCTCCATAGGCCAGAAAGTTGTCTTTCTCTGCTGGGACAGTGGATAATTACCTGTCCCCCACTTCAGTACTTTCAGCACAGTGGGATTTTATTTTACTTTTTAAAACTCTAGTTGGGTTTCTATTTGAGTATCTATCTAGTAAATTGCAAAATCAGTCAAAGGAGCTCAATTCTGGGGTTCTGATGTGCTTCAGAGGTCAGTGTAGGCTTAAAAGTGAACTTGATGTTAAAGTCTAGTTAGAACAATGGGATCTGCTTTGACTGGTTCTGGTTTGGTTTTGTTTTCTTAGAAAAATTAGGTCATCTTATTTTAAATGGCTCATCATAGTTTCATTCTGCAAAAGATAGCTTCTCAGCACTTCTCTTCCCTCATGGGATGGCTTTACCCTTGCACAAGTTAGTGAGGTAACTGTGGGCATCACCTAGCGTCAGTCAGCATATCTCCAGTCCCATTCCCGTGGTCGGGGTTTGTCCTCATGGCACACACTTTCTGCCCATATGGAGGGACACTGTGAAGCCTGTGATCAGTGAACGAAGGAGTAGGATGTAGGTGCCTAGCACACTCTCCACGCCATCGGCGAGCCACAAGTCAGTCCTGCCCACTGCTTCTGCTCCTCCCCAGGCTGCCCTGGATGTAGTGTGAGCCCTTCCTCCTGGGCTGGGCCCACTGCTTTACAGAAGCAGTGTTTCCGTGGGGAGGGTGCTGCTCCTGGCTTTACATGGGTCTCCCCTGCCCTGCCTCGCCCTGCACTGGTTTGGGGCATGCCTCCGCCTACACCCATCTCCAGCCACTCTGTCCCTGTGCTCCTGCCCTAATGAAGGGAATTCCGGGGTAAGTGCTGCTGACTTGGCTCACTTTCTCAAGGAGCTCATGCTGCTAGTCAGTCCTTTCTGTGTGCGACCACTCCTGTAACAAACAGCTCTGTCCAGGCCCAAGGTCCTGCTGACACATGTTGTCCCTGGGCTTGCAATGCCTGCTCTGGGGGTGTGTGCATCAGGCCACTGGCATAGCCAGGGGCAGTGATCCCGGGAGGCCAGCTCTGTGACTTGCAAAGCACATTCCAGGTGGGCTGTGGCCTCTGTTGTGGGTGGGTGCTGCCTTCGCCCCAAGTTGTCTGTGGAAGGCATTGTGGCCTTGGGATTCCTGCACAACCTTCTGTACACTGCACACCTACCTTGACAGTTGCATTGATTTTGCTTCTGTTCTGTTGTTATTGCCAGTTTCTTCTATTTCCCTAAAAGTCATTTGGCCATTACCTGTGTTCATGCCTAGGCTGTAGGCTTTACTTTTAGAATGGCAGAATGAGAATGCTTGCTTTCTAAAGTCCCAGTCACTGTCACTTTTCCTTCATATTCTTGGTACCATGTGACTTGAAATTCATGAAGCCAGAGTGCGGGGCAAGTGATTTCTTACATCTCTAACCAGAGGAATCTGTGAACAGTCTGCTTCCTCTCCACCTGGTGATCAAGGTGATCATGGAAGCTGGGTAACCAAAGGCTTTCATGGACTTGGGACAGGAAGCCAGCGGATGCCCTGGGAGCAGCCCTTACTCATCTGCCTGCGGGCCTTCTGCCAGAGAAGTGTACGTCGCGTGCCTGGAGCAGGACCTGGCACGCTGGCCAGCTGGCGCTCAGGTAGCTCCTAAGTCTGGCACACAGAGCTGGTGACAGTCAGTGCGGACCCCTTACTGAGGAATCACCCAGTCAGACCTGCGAGACGTGCCCAGATCCACAGTCTGTCTCCTGTGGGTCTTGCAAGAGGTCACCATGAGGGTCGGTGTCCCCAGGAAAAGCAGCTGCTTCACACTCACGCACAGACCCTTCGTTCCCACATTGCCAGCTCCTCCAGCTGTGTACACACACCTTACATGTGTCTGCCTGTACTCAAGTATGCTAACTTGCACAGATCAGATGGCTGCTCCACACTCACTCTTCCCTGCCAGTCTCCTTTGCCTGAGCAGAAGCCACTCTCTGGAGCCAGTCCGTCTTGCCAAGACCCTCACCACCAGCACTTTGTCTCTTATGCCTCAGTTTCCTCCTTTGCAAAGCACCTCCAAACGTCCTTGTGAGGATTCAGCTCTTAAGTGTGAAGCACTCAGCAGAGCCCTCGGAATGTTACCTGTTACCTGCTTCCCCTTGGCCAGTTTTGGCTGGTGCCCTACTTTGTGACTGGCGGAAAGGAATTTTTAGTGGTGGTACTGGGATTGAACCAGGGCTTTTTGTACTGAGTTACAACCCCAACTTTTTTTTTCAGGTGGTCTTGCTAAGCTGCCAAGTTACCTGTGCTGGACTAGACCTTAGAGTCCTCCTGTGTTGGCCTCCCAGAGTGCTAGAATTATGAGTTCGCCAATGACATGCTTGGCTTGAAAGGAGGGGAGGATACTTGTGCATTAGATACCTCTGTGGAAAGTCCTGGGGCCATGATGGTTGCCTGTGGTCTGCCCACCACTCCCTGCCATACCCTTTGCTGTGTACAAGGGAGCAAGGCCAGCAGGCAGAGCTGCATGCGAGCACAGAGCATGCTGGGGAACGACAGCTCCCAGCTGAGCGGGCAGCCAGCTCCTGCCAGGAGGTGACAGAGGCCCTGCAAGCCACATCCTGGTGCTGGAGGCGGAGCTGAGCGGCGATATTCTCTGCTTCCTGCTAGAGCACCATGTGTAGACACGGGACTGGGTGACTGGTGAGCTTGGACATCTTCCCATTTAGTTTTGACCGCTTTGGGGAATTCCTCTTTTGTTTGCTTGCCTCTTTAGTGGGTTGCTTATCATATTCTTATAAATTGGTCAAACCATTTATGAGTTTCACTTATCTGTATATCATAAATACTGCAAAGAGTTTTTCTGTTACCCTTTTGTATCCTAATGTTATTTGTCCTGGTGGTGATTTAAGTTCTAGGGTCGTCAGGCATGTCCTGTTTGAGGCGTTAAGATGTAAAGTCTATACAACAGGATGCCCAGCTCCTGGGTGAGCCACCTGTAGGAGGCCCTTTGGTTCCTGGCAGTTGTCCAGGGTGAGCCCTCCCTGAGTCCTCCCTTCCTCACCCCGAGGGGCAGCTTCTGAAACAGCTCATACACTGGGGTAGACAGACTGTGTCAGCCCATGGCTCTGTGCCCTTCCCCATGCACCTCACCAGCACTGCCCTGTGGAGCATGCCTGTCTGTGATGCACTTCTGTCCGTGTGCTGTGCTGTAGTTACTGTCTGTGGCGGGGCAGCCTCTGGTGAGAATGCGCTCAGGGTCCCCATGGTCTCCTTGGATTGCTTGTATCCAGTGGGGCCATGGGGAGGCATGTGAGGGTCTTCCTCTGGGCACCCAGAGACTGCCTAGGATGGGATTGCAGGTCTTGGGGCAGGTATTCCACATCCTGAGAAAGTGCCTGGCAGTGTCCCAAGTAGCCACACCTATTCCCTCCCTGAAGGGTGGCTGCTGCTCCTCTGTGCTCTCATCTGGTGGCCTGGCAGGTTGGGGGGAGGGGGGCGTGTCACCTCAGCTGCTGTCTTTCCTGTTCTGGGGCCACATTAGACATGTGGACTGAGAGATCTCGCGGTGCCCACAGAGCACCAGGGCAGATGGGCGGGCGCTGGCCCTATTGTCACAGGTCCCTGGACTCTGACATCCATGTCCCCTCTGCCCGCAGCAGCAGCAGGAGATGCTGGCTCTCAAGCACCAGCAGGAGCTGCTGGAGCACCAGCGCAAGCTGGAGAGGCACCGCCAGGAGCAGGAGCTGGAGAAGCAGCACCGTGAGCAGAAGCTGCAGCAGCTCAAGAACAAGGAGAAGGGCAAGGAGAGTGAGTGTGGGGCGGGGCCAGGGTGGGCTGGGCAAGGGAGGCACGGGCAGCAGGCAGGGGCTTGGCCTAAGGGGGTGGGGGTCAGAGAGAGGCAGTGGCCAGGGCAAGGCCTCACCGTGCCACTCACCCCTGTTGCTCTGCTGGTTCCCCAGAAGGTGCTCCTCGACTCCCTGCCCTGGTAGGAGCCTGTGAGTGTACTTCCGTGGGACTGTTTTAGGTCACTCCTCCCAGCCCCTGAGGATTCCTTCAGTGCTGCTGAAGGCTTGGGACTGGTAGAGTCAAGCCGGCAGAGTCCCTGGCTTTGTCATCACCGGCTGCCGGATTCTATATCAACACCAAAGCGAGGGCCGGGACAGGGCTTCTGGTTTGAGTGAAGCATTGAAAGACTCCTTGGCAGGACCCCTCGTGGACTTACAGGGCATGAAGATGCACAACACGTCCCAGGTGCACAGTACATTTCACCAGTGAGGTCTGCCCCACACTTCTCAGACATGTTTTCCTGAGAGCTCTTGAAGGCTGATCCGCAGCTTAGGAGCAGACACAAGCAGGGGCCCATGGCTCACTTTCTCATTTGCTGCTTCAGCCCTGGCCCTGCCTTGCACTGTGGCTGTGTGTGTCCATGCAGAGGGCATGCTTGGTCTCCCTGCAGGGGAAACAAGCACTGGACATAGGCAGAAGACCTTCTGGGCGCTAGTCCCCCTTGAGAGTTGGAGGGGATGTGGCCACAGGAACAGGCTGCCATGCCATCCCCATGACAGCCCCTTGAGCTGGAGCTCCGGGGGGCAGGAGCAGAGTGACAAGGCTTGCTGAGCACCAATCCCTTGGGGCACTGTCCCTGGTTCTGCTCCAGTTCTCCTCCTGGGTTTCGCCAGAGAGCCCTGGGCTTGGGCGCATTCCTGTCCTGTGTACTGAGAGCCTATTGAAAGGACACACCCAGGACCTTCACACAAGTCAAGGACGTGTGGGTCACAGGCCCAGGATATCTGCTCAGTCCTGGTCGTTTGCCCTACTGTCCTTCTGAAAAGGTCAGGATGGAGTGTTGCCCTCAGGTGAGGGGCTCCAGCTAGGAACAGTAGGAACTGAGGTCTTCACACACCTCCTCTGTCTGAGGGAAGACTGGGCCCTCCCCAACCTGCAGAGCCCCTTGGAGGTCCTGTGAGCTATGCCCATGCAGGGACATACACACCTGCATGTCTTCAGGCACTGGCTGCTCACTGAGAGGATATCACATACCTCCCAGGGCACTGGGTACTCTCAGGGAAAATGTCTTCAACTTACCCTATACCTACAGCTCTCTGGAAACTTACCCTTCAGAATTCTTAGTATTGAATATATAAGCAATAACATTTATAAAATACATGTGAGGGCTGTGGGGATATAAAATCACCGGCATTTGCCTGACAGTTTAATGAAAAGATGCTCGGGTTCCCTGTGAGGGTCCTGCAGGCCACCCTGACCCAGTGCCTCCCCTATCCTGGGCCTTGGCGAGCACCTGCCTCAGTCCCGTCAGATCCTGCAGCAGTGTCCTTTACTGTACTCAGCCTCACGTCGTGGGTCACAGAGCCATGTCCCTTTGCAGCAGGCTCTTCCCTCTTGCCTCTGGCTCTCACCCATGTGACATGGGGCTGCTGTGCCATCACTCACTCATTCCCACTGGTATGAGTCTGTCATGACTGTCATAGTTTTTTTCCCTGCTCTGGGGGTGGTTACCCCGTGTGTTCCCAAAAGTGGCTCTTAGAAGGTTGCTGTGTGCCACCCATAGGACTGTGTCAGCCTGCCTTGCAGACTACTGATTCAGTCCAACCAGAGAACACCAGAAGGAGACAGATGTGAAGGGTTATTGAAAGACTTGCCTTCCTTGATGCAAGGCTAGCAAGGCAACACTGGAATCTGCAGTGGGCCCTCAGGTGGGCAGGTACCTGGGTGGGTGGGTCTTCCCATGAACAGGCCTTCAGATTGTCAGGCCTGCAGAATGAGCGAGCGAGCAGGAACTCTAAGCCTGCCGCCCACAGTGAATTTCTTTGCCGTAGCAGAGCCTGAGCCCTGGAGAGTCAGGCTCTCTCACAGTGACCTTACGTCAAGGTTCTCTCCACTAATCCCATCCAGAGGACCTTCCTTGTGTCATCTAATGAGCATTTGATTGAATGACAGGATAACTCAGTCAGCTGGCACGTTGAAGACCCTCCCATCAGGTGGAGCAAGTATTTTCTAAGCGGCTTGCACCTGTTTAAGTTTAAAACAGCAGCAGTTGCAGCCCAGGAAACAGAGAGGGAGGGCATATGTGGGGGCTCTTAGCCCAAGAACAGACTGCAGGGGGCAGGAGACACATGGCCCTGAGGGGGACCTTGCCACACAGTTGACACAGGGCAACAGGTCCTAGGGTCATCGCAGGAGCAGGGGGCTATTCCTCCAAGATGGAGCAGAGCCCACAGCAGAAGGAGCAAGGGTCAGACTCCCTTTCCCAGGACCCACCCTGGCCACTGTGCTGGGTGGCAGAGCAGACTGGAGCTCCGGAGGGGTGTCCCTGGGATCCAGGGCACAGGCGGGGATAGGGCAAGACCATCTGCTTCTCAGCATGTTGCGTGGGGCCGGAACTTGCCAACCTCATGAACTGAGTCTGTGGGTGGTGGGTGCCTCACTCATGCCTGGAGTGGAAGGTCTGGGAGGAGCAGGCTCCTGTCATTCATTATCAGCCAGGCTTTTCATTCCAGCATGTGAGCCAGGGTGAGGGAGTCGCCTGCCCTGCTCCATGTCCCTCCTCTGCTGATGCACAAGCAGCAGGTGACATGGGAGTTGTCTCTCTCAGGAGGCACTTGGTACTTGGGGTTTAGCTTGCGACAAATCTCGGAAATCCCTCATCTTCAAATAGTGAAAGTGACAGGCATGCAGACATATCACTTTAACAAGCTTTCATTGTTAATCTATAATAGTATGCAGCATATAAGATGTTGTATGCTTAATGCATTCTTATAAAGTTGGACATTTCAAGTTGTGTGCTTATTTGGTGTGTGATACCTGTGCACAGGAAGGTGTGTAATCTTTAGTGAATGGGGAACTACTAGGGAATTAGCCACAAATCCTCACCCCCATGTAACCTTCACCCAGCAAAGCACCCAGCACCAAGGCATCACCGGTCACCAGGGAGCGCTTTTCATAAGAGTCAATCCTCCTGACCTCTAGGACAGATTAATTTGCCTGCTCTGGAAATGTATGGAGCAATTAATATGAAGTTTTTGTGTCTTGCTTCTTTCATTCACCAGTAAGTGTGTGAAATTTGTACCATTCCATGCTTAGCGAGAGTTCCTGTTGCTGTTCCATAGCTGGTGGGTGTTTGGGTTGGTTCCTCAGTGGAGCATTGGCTGCTGTGTCCTTTCTGCTGAGAGCGGACACTGCTGAGGAGGAACTGCTGAACCTTGGGGCACGCATATCTCTAACATCTGTGCACCGTGCCCGCGAGTTTGCAGTGTTGTAACCAGCTCTGCCATGCCTGCGGGAGGGCCCCTGTGTCCGTCCTCGCCAGCACTTGCCATGTGGTCCTGGTGGAGGCAGTGCTGTGGCGGTACCTGCTGGCTCTGCAGCTTCATTTCCCTGTACCGGTGAGATACAGCATGTTTTCATGCCCTGTTGCCTAGTGGATATTCCCTTTCTCTGGTCGTTCAGGTCTCTTGCCCATTTTTCTTCTGAGCTGTCTCCCCTCGTCTCAGTTTGGAGCTGATTTTCTTATCTTCTGGAGTCCAGCCCTTTGTCGGCTCTGTGTTGTGAGCCTCTTCTCCACTGTGGGCTGTGCCTTTCACTGTCTTAATGGTGGAAGCAGAAAACATGTTCTTGCTTTAGTGTGGCCTGATTTCTCAGTGTTCTCTCTCCTCTGTTCTTGTGCTGTGTTCAAGACACTTGGGCTGGTGGAGCATGCCTGTAATCCAGCACTCCAGGAGGCTGAGGTCGGAGAATCAGAAGTTCTAATCCCATCTGGAGAGCTAAGTGAGACTCTGTCTCAAAATTAAAAAGTAAAAGAGGGCTGAGGATGTAGCTCAGTGTAAATGCCCTAGATTCAGTGCCCAGTATCAAAAAGGAAAAAAAAAAGGAAGCTACAAAATCAAGAAGATGTTCTCTCGTCATTGAGGGAGCAATATGCTTCCCACCCACGGGGACTTCCATGCTGCTGGGAATCCCTGTGTGTGCGGTGGACACTGGGGCTGCTGCAGCGTTTCCCTGTGGAGATGGGCAGCTGGGCTTTCACCCGCATCTCTCCACATGAAGCAGTCATTATCACGTGCCTGTGTCCACAGTTGTGTCAGCTGGGTGACGCTGGCCCGGTGCTGGCCTTGCACATTGGTACCACATGATTTAATTACCACAGCTTGGGTGCAGGGCTTTGCCCAGCAGTGCAGGTCTTTCGTATTTCAGCACTTTAGTTTTTCATTGAACTTTTACAGTCAGTTGTTGCCATGCACAGATTTTTGGGGATTTCTGTGCTATTGCGCTGATTCTGTGGATGAAATTGGAAAGACTCAAAATTTTTATACCATTGATTATTTCTAGTCTTAAGTTTGTTTATATTTTTTAAAAATTTTTCTTAACAAGGCATTACATTTTATGTGTAGGAGCTTGCATATATTTTAGTAGATATATGTGAAGCCATCTGATAGTTTTTAGCACTATTGTGAATAACTTGATTTTTGTAATTTTGGAAAGCAATTTATGTTTGATTCTTGATTTTGTGCCCAGCAACCTTGCTACGCTCAGATATTTGAATTATTGGTAGATTGATTTAAACTTTGAGCAGAGTCCTATCACCCTTAAGTAATGACAGGTTTCTCTCTTCCTCCCTTCACAGTCGGAATGCTGCATGCCTCTCCCCATGTGGTGTACAGAGGTGGCGGGACTTGAGGGCATTGCCACTCAGAGGTGGTGGGAGCCCCCACTGTTCATTTCGCCTTTGCTCTTGGGCACTGTGGCTCCTAGGGGGCTTTCTGTATGCTTTTTGTGTGCTTGTGTATTTG